GCATTTTTGCTCACAATGGCGACATGAAGCAATTTAATTACGACATAATTTATGCTATGTCAATTATATTAAGCTCAAACTAATCATATGATTTGCTGTTTACAAGGGATTTTGATGACCATTAAATGCATTCCCAATATTCATGAGATCCAAAATTGCATAATTTCAGGATGTGAGAGAATGAAATTAAGTTAACAAAGAGATTAATCTATGCCATAATAGATTTATAACTAGATTCTTATCCGCACTATGTGCGGAAACATTCGTTGTATATATTGTAAACTATATTTGGTTTTTGTATTATATTGTATATAATATATTTTAACTTTAGATAAATATATTTTTAGTTTGTAGGTGAAATTGATTAGTTGGAAATAATATGATGGTTTTTGTTTTTAGTTTGTAGGTATAAATATAGTATGAAGTATTATATTTTATATTGAATATAGTTATTAGGGAAAGTATAAGTAGTTGACTATGTTGTAACTCGATCAGAGCAAAGCTGGCCCATATCCAGATAGGTTTGAAATTTTAATGGGAGTTTGACCCGGATCATTTGTTATATAAGTTGAATTTACATATCCAAACCCAAGAATATAAAACACATTGACAAAATGAGTTATATAGGTTATCTACATATAAACTAAATATAATAATAAATTATTAGAGAAATAAAAATAATCTATATTATTATAAATCAGACCAACTTTTGTAACTAATAAATCAAATTAAAATATATATGTATCTTAAAATNAAATAAAATAAAAATCATAAACCAATAAAATCTAGAGAAATTTCAAAAAATGCCACTTTTCAAATGCCACTTTACAAAAATGCCACACTTTTGAAATCTTTACAAAAATGCCATTTAAAAAAAAAAATCTTTATATTATTTATGTTTGGATTAACTATGTTCTATTAGAGTTTAGTTATGAAGGTTTAGGGGGGTTTAGGGGTCAAAACATTTTTTAGGGTTTAAAATTTTAAGATATATGCTTTATAAATCTATAATTAGTGACATTTTTGCAAATGGACACCCCAAGTGGCATTCTTGCAAATGTGCACACAAAAAATGGCATTTTTGCAATTGCCCCAAGAATCTATAAAGTAATAAAAGCAATAAACCATTTATTAGTTTTAAAAGACACTTCAATCTTAGTTGGATGATGATAAGAAGAAGACATATCTGTTAATTTTTTAAAACACTTGAATTTTTTAAGAGTAATTTACATA